TTAGGGAGGCTCACATTCCAAAACATCTCCCACAAAGTGAATAGAGAACAGAAATATACAGGCACTCAACATCACCGGAGTGACTGCCAGAAATTACAGCAACTTTCACACTAAATAAAAGACAGCTCTTGTGCAAAAGGCTAAGGGGGCCTGCTAATTATTTGTGTGCATCCTTTTTAACCGATTTCTAGCACTAATTGACTTTCATTATTTCTTATGAAGAATCCATAACAGCTCTAAAGATAAGTAAAGGGATCAAATTTACATCCTGCAGTCTTGCAAGCGGGACAGATGTCTGCACCATGAAAGGAAAACTAACTTGGCCCACAGCCTTGTTGTCATAAAATGGACAGTGATTCTAAACCTGTTACCTGTGGACCTTGGGGCCTGAAGACTATGTTTAAGGGGTCTGCAAAAGACTTAGTCTGAAAATTGAACAGAATTCAACAATATATGCAGATAATAGATTTCTAAGGGGGACTGAATCTGCATTTGAAATCCTTTCAGAGTCTCAAATGAAAAGCCTGAAAACAACAGAAATAGCACTTTTAAGACTAGGGTCACCTGACCATACTTGTGGCTACTCATACAATCATGGAGTTGCAATGAGAGAAACAATGGTTAAAAGGATTACAAGAAACCTGCACTACCCCAAGCAGGAGTATTTTGCATCATATATATAGTAGCCCAATGTCTGTGACTCTGTAACGCTGAAATGCTGGCTGACCTTCTGGGCGGTGCTTTGCCTCCCTGGCTGTTCCCTCTGGGTGGCGCTGTTGCCTGAGTCACGTCCTTCGCTTCCTGTCGTGGCACTCGGCTGACTTCTGCGCCTCTCAGCTGGGCCACCGCGTGGGAGCAAGAGGCGCAAGCTGCCGTTTGGGCCCCTCACTCCCCATGCAGCACCGCTGCATGGGGAGCGGGGGGCACAAATGGCTACTTGTGCTGCTTGCTCCCCCACAGCGGCCCGGCTGAATGGTGCAGAAGTCAGCCAAGCACCATGGCGGGACGCAAAGAGGGGTGGGGTGGTGATGTACAAGGCCAGAGAGCATGACTCGGCCGTGTACATCACCATCCCACCTCTATTCGTGGCCCCCTTCGCCTCCTGCTGTGGCAGTTGGCTAACTTCTGCGCTGCTCAGCCGGGCCACCATGGGGGAGCCCAAACGGCCACTTGCGCTGCTTGCTCCCCTGCGGCGGCCCAGCAGAGCGGCACAAAAGTCAACCAAGCGCCATGGCGGGAGGTGAAGGGGGGCGGAGTGGCGACGTGTAGCGTGACAGCAGCTCCAGGCCCCGCTCCTTGGACATGAATATCACCACCCCGCCCTCCCTTGACTGATTTCTGCGCCATTCTGCCGGGCTGCCGCGTGGGAGCAAGTGGCGCAAACGACCGTTTGGATTCCGCACTCCCCATGCAGCACGGGGAGCGCGGAGCCCAAACGGCATTTGGGCTCCGCGGTCCGCCAAGTGAGAGGCAGGAGGGGGAGGAGAGGAGAAAGAGAGAGACAGAGAGAGCGGCAGGAGGCAGAGGAGAGCTGAGTGGGGGGAGGCAGCAGGAGGAGAGACAGACAGACAGAGCAAGAGACCGGAGGTTCAGGAGAGAAGACCAACGTGGAGGAGAGACCTGAAAATCCTGTTTTATGTTGGGCTAATTGGCTAGTTTGTAAATATGTGTCTGTGTGTGAGATACAATCTGTTTGCTGTTCCTTGCTACTTTCAGATGCCTCTACCTCACTTTTAACCTGTCTGCATTCTTTAAGAACAGTATACCATCAAAGAACTTCTGCAGAAAGGCATAGGGTGTCGGGTGGGGGTGAATACAGGAGAAGATTAGCATAATGCTGATGCATTGCTCATTGTTAACATGCCAATTCCAGTTTTGAGCTCAGAGGGCATGTGAAGGGCAGGTAAACTGTTAAGAAATGGATGCAGTGCTTTGAATGGAGTGGATAGATCTGTTCTGAACTTTTAAATCTTTTATAGCTGTGATACTTCAGACTCCTAAAAATGAATCAGAACATCTGACAGGCATTCCATAAAGTTCCACAGACAAGCAGTTCCAAGATTTAGCTCTCAGCATTTACCTTCTGATATGCTGACAAAGGGAAAATAGTTTATGCAGAGGTCTGTGGGACCTTTTGCACCTAAAAGAGACTGGTAAAATTTAGCTTTTTGACTGTCTCTTTTCTCAGATAAAAAATTAATTTAAATACCTGGAAGATTTTCCCAGTTCTACCACAAGAGGAAAGGCTATTGCATCTGTGAAAATAGGTCTTTGAGTCTCAAAGCCTAATATGTACACTAAGAAAGAGATGAAGCTGAAGGTCCACAATATTCTCCACCCAAATATGAAAATGATTCACTATATTTATATTGCTCAGTTCACCTTAAAGGACCCCAAAACAGTTTACAAGTGATACATATAAGATTGCTTAGCCATGATTGAAATGCAGAGTGAAGCTTTTACAGCAGCTATTTAGAACCATGCAATGAAATTACACAATGGAGCTCATTGCAAACCCCATCTCCTTCATGGTCAAAACACTTTGAATTTTCCAATGGATTATTAAAAAAGCAAATAGAAGAACTTCCTTACCTTTGACTTAAAATGACATTTTGTTTCAATTTTTGCAAACTAAAACTTTCATTTTTTCAATTTTTGGTTTCTAGATTTACAGGTTTCTGTTCCCAGCTCTGCCACTTACCACTCTGTGAACTTGGGCAAGTCATATCTCCTCCCTGTGCCTCTGTTTCCCCTTGCACCCTGAGTCTGTCTGTGACAAGGCTGGGGAACACCACACCTAGTACAGAGCAAGTGGACCCATCTCCCTTGTGGAGTGCACATACAATTCCATGCTTCCGTGCTTTGTTCTCCCCAGTCCCTTCCATAGGTTCAGTAGTGCAGCAGTAGGGCCTAATAGCCAGTCAGTAAAATGCAGGGCAGTGCAGCCCAATGGACAAAGTCAGTAAATTCATTCCCCATTCACAGGGCAGTGTGGTCCAATAGCCAGAATCAATACATTTACTCTGGTTCATATAGCAGTGTGACTCAATGGCTGGAGGCAGGAGACAGGGGACGGGGTTACATCCCCTTGGCAGCAGGGGCCAAGCCCTTCCTCTCCACCAAACAATATCTCAGAGTCCTGCTAGTTGCTGTACCTCCAGCTACTGAATCAAAGGGGAAAAGTTCCTAACAAAACATGCTGATTCTCCAGATTAGTTGTCGCCTTCCCCAGGCTATTTCCTGGTGCCATCCACACATCTGTAGTGCAGGCCTCCATCTCTCCTCCCTGGTCAGTGGACTGCCCACTCTTCACTGCCACCCAACTCCATAAGTCCTCTGGAAGCATCCTGCATTCAGTTTGGGTTTTGGCATCTCCATCCTGGGTTCTGTGGTAACTTCCCTGGAGCAGGCAGTGCACATCTTTTCCCTCTGGCTGTCTGCCCCAACTGAGCTAAGCCATTCTCTTTAATATGTGTGCATCTGGATCATACCCAGTAAGACAGAAGAGGTGGGGCTTTCTCAACCTTAATTGCAAGATTAACCCTGTCTTATCCAGTGTGGGGCAAATGCACCCTGTCACATTGTCTGACAGAAGTTCTCAAACTGGGCACGGGATCATGATCCCATAGGGGAATTGCAGGTTGGTTACAGGGGTGTTATAATTTGTCACCTACATGGGGCTGATAGTCCCAAGCTTCTATAAAATTCACTTAATCAACATAGATTAAATTAACTTAAATTAATTAATTTATAAGGGAAGGTCATACTCAGACACTTACTGTGGGAAAGGGTTACCAATACAAAAATCTGGAAACCACTGGTATATGTAGAGCAGGTGCCCAACCTATTACCCAGGGACCATACTCAGACCACCAAAACATTTCAGAAAGCTCTCAGCCTGCTTGCACAATATACTGGCATTCATCTGATTCACCAGCATTTTGTCTTCACATTTACATCAATTTCATTTAAACAAGTATGTAAATAGTCACCATGGATAGAAACAATCAATCTAAATACATACAAAACAAGCTAAATATAAAATATAAATCAATACAAGTAATTTTAATCCATAGAATCTGTTTGGCCCACACACAATGTTGTACTTAGGTTTATGAGGCCCACCAGTATAATAAGGTTGGACATAACTGATTTTAGACTGCAGGCTCTTCAAGGCCAGAAATGTCTCTCACTATGTGTTTGCATAATTCCTTGCACAATGTGGCCCTGATACCTGTTGGATCCTGTATGTCAGTAGTGGGCAACCTGCAGCCTGAGGGCCACATGTGGCCTATTAGGGGTGATCCAATTGCACGCAGCAAGACATTTTGCTGATGTTGACTGTCCGCAGCTCCCAGTGGCCATGGTTCATCATTTCCAGCAATGGGAACTGTTGGGGTGGTGTCTGCAGGCAAAAGGGCTTCAGGGACAGGCTGGCCACCGCTTCCTGCAGTTCTTATTGGTGAGGAATGGCAAACTGCAACCACTGGGAGCTGCAAGGGGCTATGTCTGTGGATGGTCAACATCAGTAAAATGTCTCGCAGCCCACAACCAGATTACCCTGATGGGCTACATGCAGCTCGTGGGCCGCAGGCTGCCCACCACTACCATAAGCACTGCCCTGTTACTAATGATACTAACAATAATGCTTCCTATTTAGTTATTTTGCCTCTTCTCATCTAGCCAGGTCTTATTATAAAGATGTTAAAATGTACCCAACGACACCCAAAGATTTGAAGAATCACCAGCATTATTGGGACAGGGGTAGCTTCTGTTATCAGATTGTCAGGCTGATGAAAAAATGAGGAGGCGGGGGGCAAGGAGAGGCAAATCCTCCCACTTAATGACTTAGCTTTTAGTTGAAATATTTTTAAAAATAGTCCCAATATTTATCAGCTTAAAGCTTAACCCTACAATGCTTCTGTCACGTGAACAGTCTCGCTTGGGTGAACAGTCAAGGACTTTCATACTGCAAATAGCTATGCAAGAAAAATTCATACCTGTACTGCAGCAACAGTGCAGCTGCACTGTGCTAAGCCAACAGTATAAACAGAACACAGGTATTTTTACTACTAATCTCTTTGTGACATGGCGTTAAAAATTCCAGAATCCTGTCTAACAACCCAATTACATCTTTCAAGATTGTTGCTGAAATACAGGTACTTATTTTCCTAGACCAGACATGGCCATTTAGATTGGGAGACTGACATATCTGTTCAGGTCCATTATATTCATAAAAAAATAGAGATTCATAACAAAAATCTGGCAGAGTGAAAATAAATGCTTCTGCCCCTTCCTTGATTTGAGTTAATGTACACAGAGAAGCAATTAAAAAAGGCTTAACTTAAATTGGTTTTCCAAGTGAATGATGGCTTGGATAATGCTGGCTGGATATATAACGTTTATCCCCTGGGGAATGCCATTAAAAAGTTAATAAATATTTCTTTTGTACCCGCATTGTTTTCAAAAACAAGATTAAAACATAGAGTTCTAATCTGAGAAAGATGCTGTTTCTGAAAAGTTTGTGTCATATCTAATCTATATATTAAAGCACCTAATAAAATCTCATCTGCTCCCAAGATTTTTCTTTCTACAGGCAATTCAGTTCAAAATACTGCCAGAGTGCATAGGGAATTTGAATGGGTCATTCTCTGGATCCATGGGATTTATGTGGGCATACCATGCAGACCTGAGTACCTAATACAAAGGGGCACTCATCACAATTTTCTCTTCTGCATGCTATCCTAACATAAATATTAGGCATACGGTGAGCAACAATAACCCCTACATTTAGATTACCTAATACATCCCATTATAATATTTTTGTAATCTTTTCCAAAGAGTTTTATCACCTCCATTTTTTGCAGCAGGCATTTGATGCCTTTGGATCAGAGAAGTGCCCTTTGCTGAACTCCTAATACATAATTTAGCTCTGCTATCTGTAGAAAGTACTGGAGAAATACTTGTTGCAGATGATGGCCTGAAAGGTACTCAAATTATTTAAGTCATGCCTATTTTCATCCTTTCTAAGATCCATTGGCTAGGTCAGAAAGAGAAATTTCTGTATGGTTTGTTCTACACCTCATACATAAAAACACTAGGGCCATGCTGCCTTTTCTTCTTTTCAATATTTTTGCCAAATACTAATAGAACATTTGACTTTTTGAATATTTTTAAAATTCCATGTGTTAAAATAGCATAAGAACACAATCAATTTTTATTGTATCCATTGACAATCAACAAAGTGCTTTTTTTTTGTTCCCTGAACTGCATTTATCAGCTGATATCAAAATGGAAAGTCCAACAAATAACAGAGAACAATACAACCAGATAGTCAGAATAGCAGCAATCAAAAAGGTTCTCTGACTATTGAAACTTCAGATCAGAATAGATTAAAATTTTACGTTAATTGGACTCATTAAAATATTGACAAGAACAAAAAGACAAGAGATTCAGCAAGCAACAAAATACTAATTATGTATCATTAACTCTGCTAAAGTAAATCACAGCAAAGGCTAAAATATCCAGGCTCACACTCTGTTAAGGGCAAGGAACATGCCATCAGGGGGAAAGGCACAAACGTAAAAGGCAGGATTTTCCACCACACTTCCCAGTTTCCTTGTGTATGTAGGTTTACAGCAGACTGTTAGCATAGTCCCTGACCTTTCAAAGTATCAACAGGGGCATACTGAAATCAATGGGGCTCCAAAAACCGATCGAGTCTGCCCATTTGTGTCCATTAGAAGGACTTAGCCTTGTTGTCTAACTTGCTTTTTTAAAGTAATGTACAAAATTTTCATTGTAAAGTCATTGCTGGTATAGTATCAGGTGAAGACAGTAAAAAATCTTCAAATTAATAGAAGACTAACGATGTGCAGATACTTTAGTAAGTGGTTGGGACTGCATATTAGTGTAAGGAATGGACCTGAATGAAGTTTTTTACTGAAACTTTTTTGGGGGAGAGGAGATATAAATTTGGCAACATTTAAATATTTGATGAATACATGTTGATTTCACAAAGTTGCTAATTTTTTGTAAAAACAAAACAAAATCAGAAAAATATCTCCCCAACATTGAAACATCTTTGACTGACTTACAAGGAAAGATTATGTGTATTATATGTATAGACATTAAACCAGGGCTGGTGACAGACTTTGCTAGGCCTTGACAATGTGAAGGGTCTCAGCTCCAGGGGCCCCAGAAAGAGCAGAAGGAGTGGGGTTAGTGCCTAGACTCCCCCAGCGAGCTTTCTGCAATGCCCAGACCATGCTGTGCAGGGCTTTGGCAGTAATTTAAAGGGTCCAGGGCTCCAGACACTGCTCCTGCTGTGATAGTAGTAGCCCAGAGCCCCAGGCCCTTTTAAAATTGCTGGGCCCTGGGGCAACTGCTCCCTTTCCCCCACACACCCTGTTGGCTGCCCTGCACTAAACAATGTCACAGGGAACATTATTAATAACTTCAGCTTAAACACCAAGAAGAGAGAGGAATTTAGGTGTGTTTAAGGATGTCAGTAGAATTAATGGAAACATTTTAACTGAATAATATGAAAACCTTTAGAATTTCACACTTGGGACATAATATTAACACCAATGCTGAAAATGTACAATAAGGAACAAACAATCCTCCATCGGCAGAAGAATGGACTACACAATTTAATAGGTCTTTTTCACCTTTTAACTTCTATGATCCAATATTTTGTACTTTAAATAAGTACTCTAATACTCACATACAGAAATCACAAACTAAATTGAAATGTTTAAAAAACTGAATTATAAAACTCTGAAAAGTATCAATGAAATGTAAACTAACCTTAACTATATTGACTCTGAGTGCATTGTAAGTGTTATTAATGCTGAGCTGTCAAGAAGAAAAAATACAGGGTCAGCACATTTATATATCTGTCTGTCTGTCTGCCTATATTTTAGAGGTGTCTGGCTCGCTGTGAGTCCATCCGTCTGTCTGCGAGTCCTTTTGTTCAAGAACTCCTCCTAAACAGTAACCCTTAGGACCACCAAATTTGGTGTGCAGCTTCCTCTTGTCCTAACTTAAAACAAGGTTAAGATTTGATTGTAGCAGGAAAACAGGATATACCTGGAATTTGATTGTTTTCCATAACATGGAAAGGGAGGGGGCTGATCAGAGGGACACAATACTATGCAGTTACCATTGGGGGCAATGAGCGTGAAGGATAGCTGTACTGCAGAGTGGCCACTGGGGGCAGCCACACATCGAAGGGAGTGACCGACACAGGTAAGGGGCCCCTCCTCCCCCCTAAATCCTTCCCCCTTAGCTCTCAACCCTAGTGCTGGACTGGTGTGGGGAGCTCTGCTGGCTCCACCACCATGGGCCCCTGGAACACCACCAAGGCTAATGTGTTGAAGAAGTCAGAGTCATGTGGAAAAGAGATCATCTGCAGGCTCTATTTTGAGAGGATGATACTTCCTTGATTTGTTCTTTGATTCTATCCTCAGCTTGATTCACACAAATACCCTTCAATATTCCAAGTGTGACTGTCCTATCATAATATAGTGATTATTTATCTCCTGGCTCTGTTCTGTGGTACCTCTGAAAACTCTTTTCTGCCATACTTGTCTTTTTCACGTCAGGCTTGGATTCATATGTAGAATAGCACTAATAAAAGGGTCCTTTCTTCAAGAAGAATATTAAGGTGATCTCATACCAAACACTGTTTCTATATAGGATTGTTCCTTCTGTTTCTATATAGGATTGTTCCTTCTGTTTTCTTTAGACTTAGAAAAAAAATCTTCCCATTTAACCTTTACTTTAGGGACTACATCACATCACAAGCCAATGAACATAACATCAAATCCCAGTAACTGAGGAAAGGGAGAGGCAACAAGAGGAATGGCTTTTATAGGAAAAGCCAAAATTTGTCATGGTCTCACTGGGAAAGAAAGACAGTTCAAAAAGAAAAAGGTCAAGGACCTATTTACTGTAGGTCTTGCCCTTTTCTTCCATGATATAGTTGTACTTCTCTATCCTTGTTTCCTTCAAAGTAATGAGCAAGTCTTTCAAACCTTTAGTTGAAATAGGTGCCCTGCTGTTGTCCCAGTCAATGCACAAGACATGATACATAGAGCTGGGAGACATTTTTTGTGAAAAAACTTTTTCATTTTAAAGGTCAACCTTTAGGGTCAGCCAAAGCAATTCCCAGGGTATGTCTACACTACCCCGCTAGTTCGAACTAGCGGGGGTAATGTAGTCATCCGCAATTGCAAATGAAGCCCGGGATTTGAATTTCCCGGGCTTCATTTGCATGAAGCCGGCCGGCGCCATTTTTAAATGCCGGCTAGTTCGAACCCCGTGCCGCGCGGCTACACGTGGCATGGAGTAGCTAGTTCAGATTAGGCTTCCTAATCCGAACTAGCTGTACTCCTCATTCCACGAGGAGTAAAGCCTAATCTGAACTAGCTACTCCGTGCCGCATGTAGCCGCGCGGCACGGGGTTCGAACTAGCCGGCATTTAAAATTGGCGCCAGCTGGCTTCATGCAAATGAAGCCCGGGAAATTCAAATCCCGGGCTTCATTTGCAATTGCGGATGACTACATTACCCCCGCTAGTTTGAACTAGCGGGGTAGTGTAGACATACCCCCAGTTTGAGGTCAATTTTCTCAAATTATTTCAGCCACAAAAAGGAAAAAAATGTGTGACAAATGAGCTTATTTTGGTATTTTTGAAACACAACATTTCAACATTTCAACATCTCATTTTGGAAAGGTATTTTGTTTCAACAATTCCTTCAATTTTATTTTAAAAACTAACAACATTTTTAACAACTTAAAACCTTTTGATTTCAGCTGGCCAGAACCCTAGTCATTTTACTTAAATGAATATTTTTTCACCTATTTGGCCACCAAACTGAAAAAAAAAAGTTATTAGCACAACTTTACTTAGGTGCCCAATTCTCCTCTCACTTACATCAAAGTAAATCCATTGACCTTAGACGAGTTACTTAATTTACACTAATGTATGTGTGCAGAATCAGGCCTTTAATGTAAAGTGCACACACAAAAAACTACAGTAAAAGAAATA